GGGCTAGGGAGCGGGTGATTTATTGAGCTCCTGTTCCAGCACACATCCCGTCCTGTAATGAGCTGCCTTCACCAAGGGGTGTCTGCAGAGCCAGTGCGGCTTCCGGAGACGCGGGCGGGAAGCCGGCGCAGGGGGAGGACGACCGGCTGGAGTTGAAAGATCGCCCCCAGGTCTGGCGCCTGGGAGTAGGGAGGGAGCTGGTCCCACGCGGCCTGGGCACACACCCCACATTCTCCCTTGCTCCCCTGGGCAGCTCCCCAACCCCGGGTGTTGTGGCCCCGCCTTCTGGACTGGTTCCCCGCTACCCGCCGCATGCTTCTGAGGATTCTGGGCTCGGCCTTACAGCCACCTGCTTGCCGCCTCACCAGGGCTGGCATTTCTGTACGTCCTTTGCAGGAGGCCGGATCCAGGCTCAAATCCCAGCCCAACCACCTTCCAACTCGGGCTTCTGAAGAATCCCTGACCTCTCCGGGCCTCAGTTTCCTGTTCGGAAATGGGGAGGAGGAGCCGTTGTTTGTGGGATAGTTGTGAGGGTCAGCGTCGTGCTCACGGCGCTCTGTGCAGACACTGGCGGGGCGGTGAATGTGGGGTGGAGCAGCCGGACACCACCATCGGGGAGGGCAGTGTACCCTCAGCCTCGCCTGCAAGAGCCACGCTGACCCCTGGTCACAGAGTGCAGAGCTTGGCTGCCTCCTAAGGCACGGAAGGGCTGTGATAGGCTGGCCTTAAGATTCCCCTCCTCTCCCCTCCCAGCCTCTGCCTGGACTCCTGGCTTGGGTGGCTTGCTTGGCAGTGAAACTTGCCTGGCACTCATTCTTTGCTGTTTGGTCTTCTCTGCTCGTTTTTCTTTAGTGCCTGGCACCTAGAAAGTGCTGGTGGAGGGGTGGCTGTCATTGCTTTTGGCATGGAAGGGGCTGGCCCCTGCACTGACGCCTGTGAGGGGACAGTGGCATGGTTAGCGTGGACCCTTGAGAGCTGTCTTGTTTGTTTTCTGCTGCTAATAGCGCAGCACCACAGACTGGGTGAGTCATGAAGAGCAGAGGTTGATTAGGGCTCACAGTCTGGTGCAGGGTCCAGGAGCTTCGGTTGTGGATGGCCTTCTTGCTAGAGCCCTGAGGTGTCATCACAGAGCAAGACAGAGTCAGGTGTGGTTTTGGACCTCCTCTCCACTTCCTCTCCCCCTCCACTTCCCCCTCCCCCTCTACTTCTCTCCCCACACTTCTCCTTTCCCTTTCCCCTCCCCCTCTCCCCTCCCTCTCCTTCCTCCTTCCTCCTTGTCCTTCCTCCCTCTCTTTCTCCCTCCTCCCTCTCTTTCTCACTTTCCTGGGGATTTGCTCTCTCTCCCCCTCCTGGGGATTAAATACAGGGAACACTGAACTACATTCTCAGTCCTTTTAATTTTAAATTTTGAGACAAGATCTTGCTAAATTACCCAGGCTGGGCTTGAACTTGTGATTTTCCCACCTCAGTCTCACAGAGTGCTAGGATTACAGTTGTCCACCTCTGTGCCTAGCTTCTCTGTCTCTTATAAAGCCACCAGGATTCGATTCTGGGGATCCCACCCTGCTGGCTTTATCTAATCTAGTTGTCTCCTAAAGCACCTCCCACGGTGGGATTAAGTTCTCCCTTACCTCAGGGATGAGATTTCCATGTGAGCTTTTGGGGGCCCAACCCATGGCAAGACTGATGCCCCATCCCGTGGTGCGGAACTGTTATCCTGGTGTGTAGAGCAGGTGGCTGAGTTCTTTGCCAGGCACCGAGGATGGAGTGGCAGGGTGAAGACAGAGCCAGTCTGCTCCCTGCCCCCAAGCCACCTCCTGCCTGTTCTCTCGGAGCCTGCTGGTCGCAAGGCCCCCCTGAGCTGCAGGACAGGGCAAGTTCCCAGCTTTGTCCTTGCAAGCCATGGGCCAGGGAGAACTGGGATCTTGTGGACTCTTCCCAAGTCCCAAGTAGGGGAGCTGGGCGGGGCCTGCTACTCAGACATGGGTCCACCTCCCCAAGGTCAGGCGCAAGCAGGTGAAGGGGAGGAGGGCCGGGTGGAGGAGGCCATTTTTGTCCATACCCTCTGGCAATAGATCGAAAGTCCTTTTAAAATTAAAAGGACTGAGAATGTAGCTCAGTGCTCCCTGTATTTAATCCCCAGGAGGGGGAGAGAGAGCAAATCCCCATGTCCCATGGCCCTGCTGGCTGCCTGCCTCCCCGCCCTTCTGGCACTCTGCTGTGGTATTGCTGGGCTCTCTCTCCCTCTGCTCTCCCCTCCCACCTTGACACAGGTGTTTCCCGCCCTGCGGCTGCCTGTGTGAGCTTTCAGTCCCTTCTCAGCCACCTCCTCAGCAAGGTCTTCCTGACATCTGCTCTAGAGCAGCCCTAGAGGCCCAACTCTATGACTGCTGTCACTGCTTTTGTGGGAGTCGTCAAAACTTCCTTGTTTATTGCCTGCCCCCTCTGTGCCAGCAGGAGCGTGGCTGCCCTGTGCCCAGGGAATGCCCAGGAGCCCAGTGGTGAACAGTCCACTTTAAATGCCTTCTTCCTCAAGCCAGGTGTGGCAGTACAGCTGTAGACCAAGATATTCAGGAGGCTGAGGCAGAATAGCTTGGGCAACACAGTGAGGCCCAGTCTCAAAAACAGGAAAGAAATTTCCATTCTTCTTAAATTCACCAGGTGTCAAACGTGCACTCCTGTATTCCCTCAGGCCTGTGGCCAGGAGGGCTTTTATGCCAACAGTGCCTTTCTTCCTGCTGCGCCAGCATACCTGGTGTTTGCCGGTGGCAGGCGCTACTGTGAGCTTTCCTGTATTCCCTCTCTCAGGCTCCAGAATGGCCCTTTGTGGTGGGCACTATTGTCGTCATCCTGATTATAGACAGGAAACTAAAGCTGGAACTAGTTGACCCGTCTTACACAGCCAGCAAATGGCAGGGCTGGGTTAGACCCCGGTGGCTGTCCTCCGCACCTTGCCCTAAGCTCATTCTAGAAGCAGCACAGTGCATTGGCCTGCTGCTCCCCTCCTCGAGACAGGGGCAGGCCTTGGAGCTTGTTTTCCACATCCCCGCTACACCCCAGAAGTGTTGCTTCCAGATAGTAGGTGTTTGTTGCAAACCCCGTGTGTCTGTGAAAGAAGCCAGCATGGGGAAGGACTGCTTGAAGGAGCTGGTCCTCGATCGTGGTGGAACCAGGTCTAGAGAGCATCGGACTTGGTGTGTGGGAAGGGAAGCCTGAGGAGGGTGGGCTGCAGGGATGGTGGGAGTTGGAGGACGGAGCGGTGGATGAAGAGCTCCCCAGGGGCATGGCATGGGCGAAGGCGTGAAGGCGTGAAGGCGCGAAGCGCGAGGCGTGGCTGGGGACACGGGCAGGTCCACTAGTGAGGTGTGTGGAGATGAGTACTGGAATGGCATTGGAGGAAGGCAAGGCCCTTTCCCTGGATGCTCTTCAGAGGACAGGCATTTCCACTTCTTTTTTGTTGTTGTTACTGGGAATTGAACTCAGGACCTTGTGCTTGCCAGGCAGGCGCTGTGCCACTGAGCTACGTCCCCCGCCCTGTTTCCACTTCTTGCTGCGCTGGTGGGAGCATTGACTGTGCGCAGAGCATGATGTGGTCAGTGTTTCCTTCAGGGCTCGCCCAGCCTGGGTTCTAGAATTAAATTGGGGAAAATAGCCTTCATGGTGCCAGGGTCTGAAGGAGACGTTGGAGCCCCGAAATCCCAGAGAATACCACTGCACACCCCGGGGCATTCAGAGGCACAGCAGAGCGGCCCCAAGGCCAGAAGTACGTGTGGCCTGGGGCCAGGGAGCCACCCATGGCTGAAGTCAAACAAAAGCTGCTCGAAGACTCTGTAAACTCCAGTCCTACCTGCCTTGTGGCTGGAGGAAGAGAACCAGTGTCTCTGGTCGCAGGCAGTGGTCAGCAGGGGCCCACTCCCGTAAGTGGGGCCGGGCCAGGGCAGGTGAGGCTGGGCCTAGACCCTGTGCAGGTCTGGACACTGTCATGTTTTGAGATAAATCAGAGCCAGACCATTTTGAGAAATCCTCCAGGAGAGATGGCCTGGGCCCTGGTAAGGCTGAGGAGGGTGAGGGAGTGGGGCTCCAGGCAACAGCCCTTGCTTCCAGCCGATCTCTCTCTCCAAACAAAAGTATTGTGGTGATGACATAAGGTTATGGAGACAGAAATCCAAATGTGGAGGAAGCATGCATCCTTCACGATCCCATTCCCCAGCCCAGGACAGGAGGTTGTCTATATTCCAGGTCCAAAGGCCCTAGAACCACATCCAGATTTTTGTCAAGACAGTTCCTGTGCTGTGCAGCATTCCCAGGCACACCCAAGAAATCTTTTTCATTTAAAAATATAGTGATGCGGCTGGCTCAGTGCTGCACACCTGTAAGCCTAGCACTCTGAGGAGGCTGAGGCAGGAGGATCACAAGTTTGAGCCTAACCTGGGCAATTTAGCAACTCAGCCAGACCCCCTGTCTCAAAATAAAAAATAAAAAACGGGCTGGGGATGTACCTTAGTGCAAAGGCCCTGGTTTTAATCCCCAGTACTGCAAAAAAAAAAAAAAAAAAAAAAAAGGGAGGTAATGCTTGCTGCTCCCCCCTCTTCTGTCGAAGCCAGGGCCTGCAGTTCTTTTTAAGAGGAGCTGGAGGGAAGGCACAATGCCCCACTCCCCAGCTCTCCAGGTTGCCTTGTGGCTGCGCTGGAGCAGACTCAGCTAGTCAGGGCCTTTGTCCTTACGGATGTGGCCTGAGACCCCGGGCAGTGGGGAGAGGAGAAAGAGCAGGGCTGGAGGGAACAGTGTGCATCGGAGCTGGGCAGAGGGCAGGGGCTGTAGGCACAGGTCTGAGGGTGTGGGCTGCAGGGGTGTCTCCTTGCCTCTGTTTCCCCTCCTGGCTCATAGGGGAAGATGTGCGGGATGAACAGCTCTGTCTCCCCTTTCCGTTCCCCGGGTTTATGCTGCGTGGGAAGAGGAGGCATGGCCCATTTGGTTTGGTGAAATCAGAAGGAGCCAGGTGAGCTGGGCAGAATCACTGCTTTAAGACGTAGTGCATTTGGGGGTGGGGTGTCTGGGTGTTTTGTCCTGTGTATCTGCTTAGCCCAGGATTTAGCGGTGCCGAGCAATCCCGAGTTCTGCTCATGCGCTGTGAGACAGTGGGCCAGGTGGTGCTTCCAGCAGCGGGCAGGTAGCCTCTGGGCCAGAGTCTTGCTTTTCCCCTACCTCCGGTACTGGGGTAGAACCCAGGGCCTTTGCACTGAGCCACATCTTCAGCCTTTTCTTTTTTCATCTTTTGATACAAGTTCTCACTGAGCCGCTCGGTTGTGCAGGCTGAGCTCCAACTTGCAATCCTCCTGCCTGCAACCTCCCAGAGCATTGGCCACCAGGCCTTGACTGAGTTTGGGTTGTTGTTGGGGTGGGGAGTGCTGTTCGGCAGCATCTGTGCCGGTAGCTGGGGATGGTAGAAGGCCCCTCCTTTCTCAGTCTAGCCTGATCAGGAAGAAAGTAGATTCTTGACTCTGATGCTCCTGGCGTTTTGGAAGCCTATGGGCATTAAGGGGATGATGGTTAACCTGCCTGGCACCCTGCAAGGGAAGAGATGAGTTGGGGGTCCCATGAGCCTGAGAGGGGCACCGCAGGGGGAGAAAGGGTGCATGCTTCTGCGGGTATGGGCAGATAGGGCTTCACCGCTTGCTGTTCTGGTCCTAGTGCTCCCCTGGATTCTTGGCACACACTGTGATGTGCAAGAATCTTGTGTGAGTGCAGCTTGGGGTGTTGTGGAGGGAGAGGGGTGCTTCAGGGTGGGGTTAGGACCCAGGAAGCAGGCAGTGAACTCCCTGTGGTAGCTGGTGTTGGGGTGGCCCAGGACCTGCACCTCCTGGATCCCTCCCGCTCTGAGCCAGGCCTGGCCTGTGTGGCTGAGTGAGTCGGGAGAGAGAGGCAGTGACTCCTGAGACTGAATCCAGCTTTAGCTTCTGCTTTGGACTTGGCTGTCTTGCTCCTGGGAGGTGGGTGCCACCAGCAAGAACTCTCAGGAAGGCCCAGGGAGGAACCACACTGACAGGAGTGAGGGCCCTGCCCGGGAGCTGGCACCAGCCTGCCTGCCAAGGGGTGCATCACACAGTGCTCGTAACCCCTACCCTGCTCACCTTGGACACTTGGAAGAGCATCTTCAGGTTAGGTCGAGCCCAAGATGCATGCGGCAGGGCTGACCGGTGGCATGGGGACTGACAGCGTCCCGTGGTGGCAGCTGGGTTCCACCCGTTTCCATATCCTTCCTTGTCTAGTCCGCTTGGGTTGCTGAACCAGAATACTTTGGTCTGGACCATGCATAACCAACAGTCTACCGCTCATGGTTCTAGGGGCCGGAAAGGCCATGATGTTCAAGGTGCCAGTAGATTCCTCGAGGGCTCTCTCTTCGAACACAGCTGTTTGCTGCATCCTCACCTGGTGGAGGGACAGACAGACAAATCCCTCAGGCCTCTCTTACTGGGGTACTAATCCCACTCACAAGTTAGAGCCCTCAGACCTATGCAGCTCCCACAGGCTCAGTGCTACCACACTGGAGATGAGTTTCGAGGACACAGATGTCAGGGTCTGGACTGTAGCAGCACTGTCTTTGTGTCCTCCAGCGTGGAGGCCAAATACAGGGGAAGGAGAGCGACAATTCTCATCTCGCCCAAAGCTGGGAGAAGCAGGGCTCAGCTTTCCCTTTTGCCCCAGCCTGAGCCCTTCACCCTGCTGCGGCTGGCTGGGCCTTCATGGGAGGGTCCTGCAGCAGAGTGAGGCCCAGGGGTTTCTGGTATAGATATTCCTTGTTTAAGCAGTGTTTGGATTTAGGACTCATCACTTGCCCTTATGACCTGAATGCCTTGGGATTTACAATGCAGAACCGTGAGTGGCAGTGTGGCCTTATGGTGGTTCTTCTACAGTACAGTACTGTAATTTGTGCTGATTGTATAGCACTGTAGTTTATGTCCTGTTGTGCATCACAGTACTGCATTAAGAGTTATGCAAATAAAAACAAAGTCATCAAGTTGGAGTTTCCTTTGACTATTTCTTTGTTCAGAATACTGTACTGGACACACTATACGCAATTCCTCGTTTAGCAACCAATCCATTTAATGACCCAGCCGCAAGAATGGAATTTGGTTGTTAAACCAAGAAAGTCTCTGTTGGGGACCAAACCCAGGCCCTGTGTGTGCTATGCAGGCACTGTACCACTGAGCAACAGGTGTGGCCCTTTTGAGACAGGATCTTGCTAAATTGCCCAGGTGGCCTAGAATTTCTGTGACCCCCGCCCCCCAGCTGGGGATTAGAGGTGGGTCCACCAAGCCCTGCAGGAAACTAGTTTTTGCTGTGTAGTGCATCTGTCAGTGCTTACTAGAGAAACAGTTTCAAAGCAAGACGTACCGCCCAGTGTGGAGGACTGTCTGCGTACTGAATACCCCAAGGATCCTGCTGAAGGCGCGGCGCTCCATGTAGGGTCCTACGCAAGTCCGCATCAGGAGGCTGAGGACTCTGTGCTGGAAGCCAGGCGACCATGTCCAAGGTGAAGGTGAAGCCTGAGCTCCTCTGAGGAAACGGAAGTGAGCCTTCCTTCTGTGCAGGCGGCACGCCCAATGGTTGCTGTCAGTCACGCCTAGTAAATCCCCTCAGCCACGCCCAGAACGATGCTGATCCACCTTAGTTGGGCGGTTCCATTCAACTTGACACCCTCAGTTGACTATCATATGTGGGATGTGTCCAGTGTTTTAGACTTGGAGACAGGAGCGAATTGTGACCGAACTCCAGGCCTCCTCCTCCTCCCAGGGGATGCACCCATCTCCCCTCCCCACAGTGGGTAGTGAGAGGACAGGAAAGAGGCCTGGGTGTTTGGAGGTGGAAGGGGCAACAGGCATCTGGAAAAGGGTCTTCTAGACAGATACCTGAGGACCCATTGTCTTGTTGAAGCCCTGTTTGTGGACAAATGGGGGTGTGTAACCTCCAGTTGTAATCCCCCGTAAGTGGGTCTGAGCAGGTCGGAAGGAGGCAGGAGCGAGCGGGGAGGACACAGCGCTGGGGTGGGGGTGTCGTCAGAATCCTCTTCCTCCTCTGCTTCTCCTCCTCGCCCTAGCGAGTGGATTCTTTCTCTCCTGAAGCGGGACAGAGATTATTTGCCCCAAAGCCCACCTACATGCAGATGGAAACCCTCTTTCCCTTCCCCTGCCTCCTTCCCAGGTGGTCACGGAGGAAGGGGACCCTGGGCACAGGCCTCTGCTTCTGAGCCTAAGTCTCGTCTCTGTGAAGTGAAGACAGGTCGCTGCAGGGCTTCTGCGAGGAGTGAGTGCAGAGCTGCTCATGGCAGGGCTGAGCGCTGAGCGTGGCACTAAGTGCAAAAAAGGAGCTGCCTTCCCCCTGCTTCCTCCCAGGGCAGAGGGACCGTCTGTGGACGGATGCCTCAGGACCCCGAGTGCCCAGGGTGTGTGTGTGCATGTGCACGTGCATCCGTGCACACTGTGTTCATGATTGTGTGTTCTTTGTGTGCACCCAAGGGTGGCCATGTGTAGACAGAAGCACGTGTGTACGTGTGTGCCTGCTGTATGTGATCCTGTGTGTGTGTGTTCTCCCAGCACTATTAGTGGAAAGCTGTAATTATGCTTTATGTCTGGGGCTGCGGCAGCCGCTCTGCTCCCCAGCCATTAAGCGGCCTCCCTCCACTCATCCAGGGGTGTGGGCTGGGGCCGGTGCCCCCTCCTGTCCCTGCATGCCGCATGAGTGCCCGGTCACCACCCCCCCTTGCTCACCATATGCCTTTTACAGTTCTTTGGTGCGTGGTGCTCATCGAGTGGCTAATTAGCTAAATGAATTAATTGACATCCATACGTGTAATTAGCAAATGGTTCTAAGCAGCTATTCTCCTTGGAATGTCTAAAGTTTCTAAGGGTCAGGTGCTGGAGGCGGGTGCCGGAGGGAGGGAGGGAGGGAGGAGAGTGGCCAGTGTGCATGCCCGGATGAAGGATCCTGCCGCTTGCTGGACGTTGGGGCAGGGGCCTGTGAAGGAGGGGCCCAAGATCTGGGGAGGGGAAACTGACTCTGTAGGCTGGGTGTCCGGAGGCTTGGACTCCTGGGCCACTCTTGGACTTCCTCTGTGACCTTAGCTCGGCCCCTTTTTGTATCCGGGACACAGGCTCAGCTTCTAACAGGAAGGCCTCTGGGGTCTCTCCCCACTCTCCTCCCTTGCCTTAACCCAAACTTTCTGACAACAGACAGATCACACCGTCTCACACCACGGGGGCTGATGCGGGCTGTGCCTTCTGCTCCAAATGCCCTTGTCTGCCTGCTCTGCTCTTTCTGTCACCTGGAGCAGTGCTGTCCTGAAGAGCCCTCTGGCAGGGTGGGCGTCTCACCTCTGTGCGGTCTCCTGAGGCAGCTCTCAGCTGCACGCAGCTGTGGACACTCCAGGTGTGATGAATGCAACTGAGGGGAAGAATTTATTTTGTTTGTCTGTCTATCTATCTATCTATCTATCTATCTATCTATCTATCTATCTATCTATCTATCTGAGGCACGCCTCACTGTGTAGTTCAGCTTGGCCTTGAACTCACTGTGTAGCCCAGCTGGACTCCAGCTCAGCGATCCTCCTTCTTCAGCCTCCCAAGTGCTGGGATTACAGGTGTGCTTGAGGGGCAGAATTTTAAATGTGTTTACTTTTGCTTCTTTTAAACTCGGATAGCTGACTATGACTAATGGCTATTGTATTGAGCAGCATGACTTAGGACCCTCTATGATTTAGTTTATTCATTCATTCACTCATTCATTCATTCGTCCAACAAGTATTTATTGGATGACTGTGGTGGCCTTGCACTGTGGACGCTCTAGGGAACTGCAGGGGTGACTGCTGCCCCCGCGAAGCACTGCTGATGGGAAGGGGTGGAGGGAGAGGGAGAATTGCACATAATTGCGCCTGATAATGAAAGGTAGGGAAAGAAGCAGCAAGGAGCTGAGGCGGGAGGCCAGGGAAGGTGTCTGTGGGGAGGGGCCCCCTTTGGGCTGAGCCCCACAGGCCGATGAGGAGCCCAGGGCGGGCAGAGAGAGTGGGGCAAGGCCGGGAGAGCAGGCAGGGTGGGTGAGGAGGCCGCAGAGGAAGATGGACGCGGCTGAAGTGCGGTTGAAGGACGGAGCTCGCTTGGAGGCTGACCAGGTCTGTGGCGAGTGCTGGGCAGCCCTGTGGGACAGTGGAGTAGAGCCCGGCTGGGTGGTGCAGCGAGCTCAAGCCCAGCGCCCAGCGAGCTGTCCTGCTTCACTTCCTGCGCAAGCCATCCTCAGGCCTGACTCTCCACAGTGCTCCCACCCCTGGCTCGCCTCCCAGTGTCCCCCTTTTGCTCAGCTCAGCTGGGTGTCACCATCTCCCAGCAAGCTAGCCGTGGAGGCAGGAGGGGTCAGCGGCCTGGCCCTGCCTCCTCTGTCCCTCGCTGGCAGTGCTGCAGCACAGTTGCCTGAGCCTTTTCCCTCTCTGCCCCGTGCCGGCCCAACTGCCCCCAAGGGGGGGGGCGCACTCCTCACCTTCCCCTTTTACAGTAGAGCCGGCGGGGGGCCTGGAGAGGCCACTTGCAGGCTGCGGACAGGGCCCCTCGACTTCTTGGAGGTCACAGAGTACACAGGTCAAGGGCGTAGCTCTCAGGTCCACCTGTGTTGGATGCTGGCTGTGGATTTCTTAGCTGTGCGATCTGAATGAAGCACTTACCCTCTCTCAGTATAAAGTGGGGAGTGTGGCTGCTGTGTTTCTCAGGGTGAGGCCAGTCCTGCGAAGTGCTTGGGAGCCACAGCCACAGCAGGAGCACTTGGTACTGTGGGCAGGTGTTATCTGGGAATCTGACAGAAGTACCGAACTCCTCCTCCTCAAAATGCAGTTTCAGAAAGCTCACAGAAGCCCTGGTGCCCAGCTATGGACGTCTTAAAAACTTTGGGCCCCAGACTGAGGAACTCAGTGAGAAAGCGCCCATTTATAACAGCAGATAAAGAAATAGCTAAAAAATAAAGTGTCAAAAGAGTCAAAGATGTGCAAAATCAGCATGGCAAAAAATTTAACACTTAACTGAGGGACATTTAAAAAGCTTTAAATAGCTGGGTGTGGTGGCACGTGCCTGTAATCCCAGCTCTCAGAAGGCTGAGGCAGGAGGATCGCTGCAAGTTTGAGGCTACATAGTGAGTTCAGGCCAGCTTGAACTACATAGCAAGAACTTGTCTCCAAAAAAAGCCTTACATAAATGGAAAGACTTAACATTGATAAATATATTGATTTTTCCTAGATTAATATATAAATATATTTAATGCAACTACAATTTAATATTCCAACAGGGTTTTTTTGTAGAACTTGACATAATGATTCTGAAATGTATGCAAAGAATAAAGATCCAAAACATGGCCAAGATATTTCTGAAGAATAAGGTAGTCTGATTTTCCCTACCAGATATCAGAATTTATTATAAAGCCCTAAAAATTAAAGAAGTGTGGGGTTGGTGGAAGAATGGACAAATTGTAAAAAGAATTAAGATGTGTTGCATATAGGCGCAGACTCCCCCTGAGGGAGTTATCATGAGGTACTGCAAACATAGACTAATACAAATACAAATAAAAAAAGGAATGGATACACTGACCAATGAAATAAAACTGAGGGCCCAACACAGACCTCCTCATTTAGTTTGCATGACAGAAGCAAAAGAGAGTTTAGCACAATGGTGAAGACTGGCAGAGTCCAGAGCCAGGCAGCCGGCTTTGGATCCTGGTTTTGATGCCTATGTAGCTGTGTGATCAAACTGCTGAATTTGGGCTGGGAATATAGCTCAGTGACACAGCACCTGCCTGGCAAGCATGAGATCCTGAGTTTGGTTCCTGGTTCTTTTTTTTTTTTTGTCTTTTTGAGACAGGGTCTCGCTATGCAGTTCAGGCTGGACTTCAGCTCACTTTGTAGCCCAGGCTGGTCTTGAATTCACAATGATCCTCCTGCCTCAGCCTCCCAAGTGCTGGGATTACCTGTGTGTGCCACCAAGCCCCACTCTGAGTTTGATTCCTGGTACAAAACAAACAACAACAACAAAAAAACCCCAAACTGCTGAATCTCTCAGGTCTCACTCAGCTCCTCTGGTGAGGAGACAGAGTTTCTACAAATAGAAATGAAAAACACAATTGCACAGACATGGAAAAATGAAATTGGATCCATTCTTGACTTTTTACCAAAAAGCCCCTTTCATATGGGCTCAGGAGTCCCATGTTGAAAGGAGTACTTGGTAACTTTGAGTGGAAAGGGTAAGTGCGGGTCTTTCTGACCTGAGGGCTGTTCTTTAATAAGACCTCAAAAATAACTGATCATGAAAGATTGGTATGTCTGACCACTTTATTCTTTTTTTTTTTTTTTTTTTTTTTTTGGTCTTTTTGAGACAGGATCTTACTATAAGTTTAGGGTGGCCTTGAGCTCACTTTGTAGCCCAGGCTGGTCTTAAACTCGCAACAATCCTCCTGCCTCAGCCTCCTGAGTGCTGGGATTACAGGCGTATGCCGTCATGCCTTGTTGTCTGACCACTTTAAAACCCAGAACTAAGCTGGGACATGGTGGTGTATGCCTGTACTCCCAGCTACTTGGGAGGCTGAGGAAGGAGGATCACAAGTTGGCCAGTTTGGGCAACTTAGTGAGACCTTGTCTCAAAAATACTATAAAAGGGCTTTGAGATATAGCTCAGTAATAGGGCATTTGTCTATGTGTGAGGGTCTGGGTTTGATTCCCAGCATTATAAGGGAAAAGAAAAAAAGTAAAATTAGTAAGAAAAGACAACTAATTCAATTAAACAATGGGGACAAGCTTGGCCAGTGTTTACCAGAAGAGGAAACATGTATGAAGAGATGCTTAACTAATTAGCCATCCGGGAACTGAGAAGCAAGGCAATGGTGAATGTCACTTTACTACCTGAATGGCCACAGTCGAGCTGCCTGACAGTGGAAGAGGCTATGGCTCAGGAAGTGAGTTGATTATGTATTGCTGATGGGAATGTAAGTCAGAACAACCACTTTGAAGACTAATTTACTATTCTTTTGTAGCATAGGACACTTTCCTATTCAATACCCCAAGAATCCAGCTCTTTAGTATGTACCCAGAATAAACTCTGGAATTGCACCTGGAGTCACGTCTAAGAACATTCATGCAGTCTGCAAGAGCAAAAAATACCACCATGATACCCAGTGCTTCCTCAAGACCTCAAGGGAAGGGAAGGGATTCCCTGGGGCTGGGGAGAGAGGGCCTTATGAGATGGGGAGAAAGAGATAGGTAAAGTTATCCCTGACACTGAAATATGGATGGTGGGTTCTCAGGTCTTCATTATATTATTTTAAAAAATGAGCTAAATATAGTGATGTGCACTTGTAGTCCCAGCTACTATGGGAGGCTGATGCAAGAGGCTACCTTGAGCCCAGTAGTTTGAGACCAGTCTGGGTAATGCAGTGAGATAATGTCTCCACAAACAAGCAATCAAACAAATGAAATGAATGATTGTCAAGATCCACAGAATGTACAATAGAAAGAGTGGACCCTAGGGCTGCGCATGCATCTGCCTAGCATGTGTGGGACTCTGGGTTCAAGTCCAACACAGAGGGAGGGGGAGGGGGAGGGGGAGGGAGAGGGAGAGGGAGAGAAATCGGACCAAATGTAAACTCTGGGCTTTAGTTAATAATAATTTATCAGTATTATCTTGTCAACTGGGACAAGTGAACCAACTTACTCATGAAAGATACCACAGCAAGCACGAGATCATGAGTTTGATTCCCGGTACCAGAAAAAAAACCAAAAAAAAAAAAAAAAGAAAGTTACCGCTAACAGAAGGGATGGGGGAGGGGGAGAGGGGCATGTGGGAACTCTGTAGCTTTTGCTCAAATTTTCTGTAAACCTAAAATTGCTAAAAAACTGTCTATCCATTAAAAAAATAGAGAACATATGAAGACTAAATAAATATAAAAGATAGCAAGAGGTGTCTTGAGCCAAGGATTATGATTAATCTACATGCATCTGAGAGTTCTTAAAAACAAACGAGGAAATCAAAGACAAGTAGGTTTCTGGACTAGAACTCGGGCAAGCCCAGCATGATGCAACAGAAGGAAAAGGTTGTGGTCGGCACCAGGTGCCAGTGCTGCAACAATGTGGTTCCCTGGGGATCCATACAGGAATAGTCCTAGAAGTTTTCGTTGACTGGCAGCTCTAAAGAAAACAATACGGCAATGTTGGTTTGCTTTTGTTTCAAAAGACTGGGCTGTTTAAATAATATTTAAATGAGTATTCTGACAATACTCATTAAAAAAAACAGGTCTCCTTAAGATTCCACTGAAATGACAGCAAATAAATAAAAAGACACAAGCCTACAATAATAAAGAGGACATAAACAAATACGAAACATCCACATATTTTACCAGATGGTCAACAGAAAAGACAAGTGTATCCATCAGGGGTTACTAAAGAAACAGATATAACACAAGATATACAAATGTACAAGGAATTACAAGTTTGGTACAATGGTCAGCTACAGAGTTGGACGAGGAAGCGTGCAGAGGGTGTCTGCAGGCTGGAGATTGAAGAGCCCAGCCCCGGGCCTGGAGCTCACTGCAGTGTCTGTGCAATTCTGTATCAGGAGGCTAATGGGGTCTGCGGTGAAATGCTGAAGACTCTACGATGAAGGCCGAAGGCCGGAGAGACTGCACCAGAAGGCTGCAGAGGCCCAGGCGGAAGCCAAACAGTCTGCACCAGAAGCCAGGAGATGACCAAGCCTAAGGTAAAAACTGGAGCTCCTGCCCTGGGGGGTTGAGGGGTGGTCCTCTACACCCACACCCTCTGCGTGCCTTCCTCTTGCACAGGCTCAGGATGAATACAAAGTAAGCACCCTGGCTCCCTGCTGAGTGACATAGTTAACCTTCTAAACTTCTCAAATTGACACAATAAATAGCATCCTAGAGCTGTAAGGGCGTGTTCTTTTCGCCCCAGGATGCAGAACTGCTGAGTCACTTAACCAAACCTCTAGACTCCCCAAGTTGACACAACGTATCAACCATAACAAGAAAGCAATGGAGGAGGTCCTGGAGCCCATTGTCCCAAGCAGGGAGTGGTCTGTGTTGCAGAACTCAGCCGAGTCATAGACTGGGCGGTGTCAGGTATGACTGAGGGAGGGGATAGACTTGGGCAGTATGTTAGTCAGCTTTCTGTCACTGTGACAATATACCTAAGAAGAGCAATTTAAGGGAGAAAGGGCTTATTGTGGCTCACAGTTTGGTTTCAGAGGTTCAGTCCATGGTCAGCTGTCTCCATTGCTTTTAGGCCTGTGGTGAGGCAGAAACAGCATGGCAGAAGGGTGTGATGGTGGGAAGCTGCCCACTTCATGGCAACTGGAAAGTTAAGAAAAGGTGAGGAAGTGGGGGGCCAGAGACAGGATATAGTCCCCAAGGACACACCTCCACAGCTCACCTCTTTTTTTTTTTTCTGTCTTTTTGAGACAAGGTTTCACTATGCAGTTTACGGTAGCCACTTCTTGTGACACGGCCTCACCTTGTAGGTTTGCATCACCTCCAATAATGCTTCAAGTTAACTCATTAATGCATTAATCCAGTGATAAAGTTAAAGCTCTAATGATCATTCACCTTTTAAATCTCCCACCTCTGGTCACTGCTGCACTGGGGACAAAGCAATCAGCACATGAGCCTTTTAGGGGACATTGTAGACCCCAACTGTGAAGGCAGGAAGTACAGGATTAAGAGCAAAGTCCTTGTATCATCAGAATTCCCGAAGCCAGCTGAGTGTGGTGGTACATGCCTGTAATCCCAGACTTCGGAGACTGAGGCAGGAGGATTGTTGTGAGTTCTAGGCCAGTCTGGGCTACAAAGTGAGCTCAAGGCCAGTTTGAACTGCATAGCAAGACCCTGTCTCAAAAAGACAAAAACAAAACAAAACAAAAGAAAACCTCCAGAAGCCAGGCATCCACCACCTGGTAAACCATTGGAAGACTGTTTGCTGAAGAAATTGGTGCCTCTACCGCAAAGACCTGAGTAAACGGGCATCATGACCTGTCCCTGTCCCCAGACTTGCCTGCCACTCGGCCTTGCTCCCAAGCTCACCGTGAGCCAGCACATCAGCGGACATGTGAAGGAAGTCTGACGACTCGCTGGTCAGGTATTACCCTCTGCCAAATGGTGCAGCTCTGTTAAATTCTGTAGGATGGACCAGGTCCCTCCTAGACACATCAGAAACAGCCCCAGAGGAAACAAAACATGTGGGGGACAAAGAGAACTTCATTATTTCTTTTCTCAATAAGATTTTTGGGGTACATTTTAGATATACATAGCGATCACATTCATCATAGAGAATTTGTACCTGTATACAATATGTTGTTTCTTTTTTTTTTTTTTACCCTCCCTTCAAGCCCTCCCCTCTTCTCCATTTACAAAAGCAAAGAGAACTTCAAAATCCTTTAGTGTTCTAAGAGAGACTGAAAAATATATTGGGTTCACAAAACATAAGTAGGATGCTGGGAAAAAGGAATAAATTAACTACAACTACAAAACTAAACAACTACTTCTTGGAAGATAAAAGTGATTGCCAAATATAAAATTAAAATTATTGTGTAATTAAAATGAAATATTTGCTAATTATGACACACATTTGTAATCCCAACACTTTGGAAGCTGAGGCAAGATGATTGCTATGAGCTCAAGGCCAGTCTGGACATTTTTTTTTTTTTTTGTCTTTTTCAGGGTCTCTTTATGCAGTTCAGGCTGGCCTTGAACTCACTTTGTAGCCCAGGCTGGTCTTGAACTCGCAACAATCCTCCTGCTTCAGCCTCTTGAGTGCTGGGATTACAGGCATGCGCCACCATGCCCGGCCAGCCTGGACACAGAGAGAACCTGTCTTAAAAAACCAAAAACACAAATAAACGAACAAAAAAAAGAAAAGAAAACAAAGAAGAAAGGAAATTAAAACTACACACGATAATGAAGCAGCATTGAAAAATAAAAGTCACAGTATCAATATCAAGGGTTCCATATCAGAACAATAGGTATTTCAGAGGAACTTATCAAAGAAATAGTGTAAAATAACTTTTTGGGCATAAGTCTATAGATTGAAAAGGCTACCAAATAGCCAGAAAAATGAAGAAAGTGAGGCATTCACCTACAAGTACTAATGAAATTTCTGAAAACCTGGAGTAATAGTAAAAGAAAAAAACTAATCCTAGTATTATAGTACTAGGAATACTATCAATACCAGTAATACTAGCTGTATTAGGATTAGTTTTATTTACAATGGACAAACTTCCTCAAATATCCGTGGCTTAACTAGGGCAACTGTTTAGATAATAATTAGATTATTTTCTGTCACAGGCAGTAAACACAAGCAATTAAGGCTAGTATGGCATTTCTATTATCACTAGGGATATGGACTGTTTCTTTCTTATTGTTTCAGTGTTCCCTTAATGCTGCTTCTATATTATGGTCCAAGATGGTTGCCTAAGCTCCTGCTAACATGTTTACATCCTAGTTAGCAAGAAGTAGGTAACAGAAGAGAAAGTAATTAAAATTCAGGGGTTCTGTTTGTTTGTTTTGCTTTTGCTTTTGTTTTTTGAGACAGGGTCTCACTATATAGTTCAGCCTGGCCTTGAACTCACAGTGTAGCTCAGGCTGGCCTTGAAGTTGTGGCAATCCTCCTGCCTCAGAGTCTTGAGTGCTAGGATCACAGGTATGCACCACCATGCGTAGTAATTTAGAGATTCTTAATTCAATAACAGGCAGTGAGTTTGAAGCAGTTAAAAAACAAAACAAAAAACTGCTACCAACTAAGAAAGGCTTAGGACCCAATAGATTCACTGCTTCAGGGAAAATCTAACACCGATATTCTGCAAACTCTAATGAAATTGAAAGGAAAGAAGTACTCTAAGTCATTCTGGGAAGCTACTGCTACCCTGATTCTAAAACCAAAGCCCAACTAAAAAAAGAAAACTACAGGCCAATCTCTTTAGTGAACATAGATATGAAAATCCTCAACAAGATACTGGCAAACAGAATGCAATAAATCATCAAAAAGATCATACACCGTGATCAAGAAGGCTTCATCCCAGGAATGCAGGGATGGCTCAACATACAGAAATCAATAAATGTAATACATCACACAAATAGAAGTAAGGACGTAAATCGGTGATCATCTCGATAGATACAGAAAAAAGCCTTTGAGAAAATCCAACATCCATTCATGATAAAAATCTTGAAGAAAATAGGCATAAAAGACTGTATTTCAATCTTATATAAGCCATTTATTACCAAGCTATTGCCAACATCACATTAAACAGGGAAAAGCTGAAAGTTTTCCCTCTAAAATCAGGAACAAGATAAGGATGTCTGGGGGCTGGGGATTTAGCTCAGCGGCAAAGCGCCTGCCTGGCAAGCACAAGGTCGTGAGTTCGGTTCCTGGTACTGGAGAAAAACAAAAACAAACAAACAAAAAAAAAAAAGATAAGGATGTCCACTATCACCACTCCTGTTCATCATAGTACTTGAAACATTACCCAGAGAAATCAGGCAAGAAAAAGAAATAAAAGGGATATGTATATGAATAAGGGACAAAGTCAAATTATTATTTGCAGATAAAATAAGCCTTTATAGAAAACCAAAATAATTCCACCCAAAGACTCCTAGAATTGATAACCAAATTCAGATAGATAGCAGTATACAAAATTAAACACAAAAAAATCAATAGCATTCCTCTATACCAATAATAAACTCACTGAGAAAGAAATTAGGAAGACAATACCACTTGCAATAGCATAAAAGAAATTAAGTACTGAGCAATTCACTTAACCAAGGAAGTGAAAGACTTCTATAATGAAAACTGCAGTACCAGATAAAGGAGATCGAAGGGGGAAAGCTATCCCCTGTTCCTGGGTAGGAAGAACCAATATTGTCAAAATGGACATACTTCCAAAACTGATATATAGATTCAATGCAATCTCAATCAAAATATTAACAGCATTCCTCACAGCAAGAGAGAAAAAAAAACTACCCTGAAATGTATATAGAATCAGAAGAGCAAAAGCAATTCTGGGCAACAAAAACAAAGCAGGAGGCATCACAGTCCTGGATTTTAAGTTATATTACAAAGCTACAGTGATAAAACAACATAGCACTGGCATAAAAACACACACGAGGATCAGTGAAACAAAATAGAGGGCAAAGAAATAACCCAGCCACGTTAAGTTGTCTGATCTTTCACAAGAAGCCAAAAACATTCACTGGAGGAAAGATTGCCTCTTTAACAAATGATGCTGGGAAAACTGGTTACACACATGCAGAAGATTGAGTCTAGACCCGTATTGATAACTATGTACCCAAATAAAATCAAAATGGATCAAAGACATAAATATTAAAATAGAAGCACTTAATCTGTTGGCAGATAAAATAGGTAAAACCCATGAAGACATAGGCCCAGGAAAGTACTTTCTAAATGAAATACCTATTGCACAAGAAATAACACCAAGCATCAAGAAATGAGATCATGTTAAATTAAAAAGCTTTTGCACAGCAAAGGAAACAGCCAATAGAGTGAAGAGACTATCTACAGAAGAGGAAAACATTTTTTGCTGCTCCTTTGACAGAGCGCTAATATCTGGACTATAAAAAGAACTAAAAAAACCCCACCAAACTAAAAGACCCAGCAAAAGTAGGTAACTGAAATGAACAGACACTTCTCAGAAAACATAACACAAATGGCCAGTAAAAACATGAAAACATGCTCAAAATCACTGGCCATTAGAGAAATGGAAATTAAGACAATTTCATCTTAATTACAAGATTTCACCTTACTCTGGAATGGATGGCTAGCATCAAGAAATCAAATAGTAACACAGGCTGGAGAGGCTTCAGGGAAAAGGGATCCTTCTACATTGTTGGTGGGAATGTAAACTAGTACAACCACTATGGAAATCATCATAGAGCTTCCTCAAAAAACTAAAACTAGAAATTCTATTTGATCCAGCTACTATATTGCCCTTCTATGTATCAACTCAAAAGAGTTAAAGATATTATACCACAGTGATCTATGCATATCCATGTTTATAGCAGCAAGATTCACAATGGCTACATCTGTGTATCCATCAATAGATGAATGGATAAAGAAAATATGGTATTTATACACAGTGGAGTATTATTCTGCCATAAAGAAGAATAAATTTGAGTTGGAAAATGGATGCCTTTTTTTTTTTGGTCTTTTTGAGAAGGGGTCTCGCTATGCAGGTCAGGCTGGCCTTGAGCTCACTTTGTAGCATAGGCTGGTCTTGAACTTGCAACGATCCTCCTGCCTTAGCCTCTTGAGTGCTGGGATTACAGGTGTGTGCCACCATGCCCAGCAATGGATACATTTTGAGACCATAATGTTAAGGGAAATAAATCAGACATATGGGGCTGGGGATTTAGCTCAGCAGCAAAAGCGCCTGCCTGGCAAGCTCAAGGTCGTGAGTTTGGTTCCCGGTACCGGAGAAAAACCCCCCCCAAAAAAAAAAAAAATCAGACATACAAGCTTAAATCTTACATAACAAGTCCGAAGTATAAACAATATTTTAAAAAGTAAGATAAAAGATAAACCTTAGAAGGTAGGGAGATAGATATTTTTCAAAAGGAAGGGGACTTAGACATGGAAGGAGAGGAAAGGAAGGAGAGGGAAGAGGGAAATAAGGAATTAAGTATGTTAAGTACATTTACCTACTCCCTATGATGAATGTAAACGTTATATACTCCAAACATACACCATAATAGAGACAATCTGAGGTCCCCAGTACATCTACACAAGAAAAGGGTCAGCATATATTTTTTTACTGATAATAGATTCAACACCCTGAGGGAAAATAAAATTCAACTTGTAATCTATTCCTATAATAAAATGTGAGAGTAAATTAGGCATCGTTGTATATGTAAGAACTTAAAGGGTTTATCTTCCATGTATGCTTTTTTAAAAAAATTACTCACCGGGCATGGTGGTGCACGCCTGTAATCCCAGCACTTGGGAAGCTGAGGCAGAAGGATCGTTGTAAGTTCGAGGCCAGCCTGGGCTACAGAAGTGAGCTCAAGGGCAGCCTGAACTGCATAGTTAGACCCTGTCTCAAAAAGACAAGAGAGAAAGAGAGAGAGAGAGAGAGAGAGAGAGAGAGAGAGAGAGAGAGAAAGGCAAGTATCTTAGTCCACATGTTTATTTAAAGTCAGCAGCCACTGTCAGTGTTTCAGAAACTGAGCTGACAGTAGCATATACCACTTCCTCCTGCATTTTACTGCCAAAGGAGGAGTTGCCCAGCTCTGCTTAACTTCAGAGGGGTGGGGAAGTGCCGTCCACTTGTGATTCTGGAAGCTGTATAAACAGTGGTATTTGGGACTAGTTATAAAAACAACCACCTACCCCTTTGCTGGCTTCCAAGCTGGAGCCCCCTTACCCCCAGCACACAAAATATAGTATTACCTCCCTGAGGCACAGAGCCCCAAAATTCTTTTCAAATCAGCATCAAGTCAAATTTCAGGATTTCTGGGTGATGGACAGAGGTCAGGTTTAGATGTGGCTTAGCTTTAATCTGGAGAAATGAAGTAGAAAAACAAACACTAGCCAGGCTTGGTGGTGCATGCCTGTAATCCCAGCACTCGGGAGGCTGAGGCAGGAGGATCATTGAGAGTTTGAGACCAGCCTAGGTTACAAAGTGAGCTCAAGCCTGGCCTATACTACATAGTGAGATCCTGTCTCAAAAAGATAAAAAAAAAACTACAAAAAACCCACAAAGACTAGTGACCTGCAGCTCCCTCCTCCCTAATACAAATGTACTGGAAGATGTCTGCATTATCCAAGCTAGGCTCAGATTTGTGATCCTCCTGCCTCAGCCTCATGCCTCAGAGTGCTAGGATCACATGTGTGTGCCATCATGCCCGGTTCTGAAGGAAATATTCTTTGGCTAGGCCTAGATTCTACTTCCCAGGAAGTGCTCTTCCATGTACTGTTTCCTACGGCCCCTGCAGGCCTCTCTTTTCCATCATCTGAAAAGAAGTTGGGGACTAGACCCACGTGAGGAAGAGAGTCATCTCCTCAGTCTACTTCCCACTCACAGCGAGGGACCCAGGGCCATTTTATCGCTTGAACACTCAAGAGTCTCAGCCCAAGCTGGTAATCATTTTGAGAGCAGAAACTTTTAGAATCTTAGATATAGCTTCCCGCTGTCTGTTGCTGCCCAGTTCCATGTAGCAGCAAGCCACGCACGCAGCTCTGAGGAGACATTTCGGACTGGCTGTCTCTCTCTGCTCCCGTGGCTCCTTGAGTGGGTCCCGAGTCCGGGAACGGCAGGCTGTGTCATGTGTGCCGCTTGTTTTCCTGTCTTCCCTGAGCCCTGAGTCCCTTCGTCTCTTCTCAGTGTTGATGGACTCTCACCAACCGCCTTGCCTAGGTGTTGCTGCTGGTTGGTGTCTGAGAAGTTCTTCCGGAGGACGAGCTGGCCCCTGAGATGGTGACAAGAGGGAAGACCGGACCACCGTCCAGTGGCAAGGACAGCCACGTTTCAGGCGCCAGCTTCCTGTCAGCACCCTCAGCACCAGCTGCCTCCGGTCCCCTCAGACATTCCAGTACCGCCTGGCCTCACCTCGCAGTGACGGGAGGAGGACAACCTGCAAGGCCACCCCCAGTCCACCACCCTCGATGTGGCCTCCTCAGAGGTCTGCTTGGCAGCCGTGTAGGGAGCCCTCACCCCAGCAGCCCCCTGTTCCCCTTTTGCCCCCTGCCTTGGCAGTTGCTGTATGGTACAGGGTCACTTCCGCCCCAGCAGCGGCTGCTGGCGCAGTGACTGGAGTCGCGGTTACCTCAGCCCTGTGGGCTGTGCTGTCGGACTTCCTCGGGCGGGGCCCTGGATGAGCTCACCAGAGGGGGCTCCTAGCATGGTCTGTTCTCCTGATGCCCCAGGGAGGGCGGTGCCTTCTGCTCCCTTTCCTGATCACTTTGCCACCTGGAAGTTTTCCTGTGCCTTGTGGACTCCATCTTGCATTTAGAGGTTCGGACCAAGGGCGAAGTGAGCAACACTTCTGCTTTCACTTAGCATTACTTTGCTCAAAGATCCTCTCATTCTTACCTTTTATAGTGCAGTGGCAAACAGAAGTACCAAACTGAGGAAGATATCCAGGAATTGAAGGCAGATTTATTGATGTTGATGGGCACTGATTGGGATCACTCCCAGAATGTCAGGCCCCGATCGCTGGCGGTCTAGGGCTTATATGGGATAAGCAAGCAGGAAGTACAGAGCAGAATGACTTGTCAATTGGGGATTGGTTTATACAGTGTGCATCACAGTGACCAGCTATGCATCACAGTGAACAGCTATTTCTAAGAGACAGAAGCAACTGGAACTGGAAGAGGAACTGTTACCTGGGCAACTAAGAAACTGAAGTATACCGGCAGTGGGGGGGGGGGCATTTTCTGCTACAATAGGTTGGGACTGATAAGCACATCAGCAAGTGTTGGAGGTGTCCTGAATGTCTGGACTCTTTAGAGTCTACTTTTTTCTGGCACTAGGGATTGAACCCAGGGCCTTTGCACTGAGCTACATGTCCCCAGCTCTTTTTAAATTCTTTTGTTCGTTTGTTCGTTTTGTTTGCGATTGGAAATGAACCCAGGGAGTTCTGAACTACACCTTCGACACTTTTTATTTTTATTTTGAGACTAAGTTTTGCTAAGTTGCCTAAGTTTTGCTAGGCTGGCCTCCTGCTTGTTTTTTTTTTTTTTTTTTTTTTTTTTTTTTTTTT